AGCTGTCCCCAGAGCTCCTGGCAACGCACCTGCCTGTTATGTTCCTGTAGATCCTGCCGAATCTTCTGGAGCTACAAAGGGACAACAGGGTCACACCGGGCGGTGGTCAGTGTAAGTGGGCAGAATTTGAATGTTATTCATGCTTCTCCCCAGCTGTGTGACCCTGGGCAAGTCACTTTACCTCTCTGGTCCCTGCGCTCATCAAATAGGATGGCACTTCATACCCTCGAAATGGGAGCTAATTAGGGAGACCCCTGGATTTCATTCTAGATGCAAAGGTCAAAGGCCTTCCCATCCTCACCCTCTTGCTCACTCTGCTCCAAGCACACTGGCCTCCTTACTGTTCTTCCAACGCGTCGTACACAATCCTGCCCCAGGGCCTTTACACATACAGTACCCACTGCCTGGAACACCTTTCCCTGTTCTCTCGAGGGGTAGCAGGAGCCCTTATCCTCTGTGACCACCACTTCCTCTCAGAAGCCCTTTCTGACTACCCTAGCTCAAAGTCTTTACTCATTTTCCGCTCATCCTTTTCTATTTTCCTTTTAATTCTGACATTTTTTTTTAAATTTTGTTTTTTTTCTATTTACTTACTTGTCCCTCTCATCCCCCTAGAGCTGCCCTGTCCAATGGGGTAGCCACCAGGCAAGTGCGGCTATTTAAATTTAAACCAGTTAAACATTCAGGTCCTTACAAAGTGCTCAATTGCCACATGTGGCTAGCAGGTGTCATATTGGACATTGTGGACATAGAACATCATGGAAAGTTCTAGAAAACATGGCACACGAGAACATACACGCCTCAAGGGCAGGGACTCTAGTCATGTGCTGTGAGCTAAAGAAGCCGCTCCTTTAAAGATGGAATTTCCAGTTGTCACAGCAAGATTATTATTAAGAAAAACTCACATGAAGCTGGGGTCCAATGGGGTCACTCACTCGCCCAAAGTTAGCAAAATAAATTTGTCTCAAAACCCTGTTCCTGAGGCTAAAACAGAACAGCCTTTCCAGGGGCTGCCCAGAGGCGCTGTCTGGTTTGTGGCTCACCAAGTAGTAAAGGCTGTCCACCTGTGCCCGCAGGTGAGGAGAGAACCTGTGAGGAAGAAAGACCAGCTGGGGGTGGGGGGGGCAGGACCCTCCCCCAGAATGAGACTCTGGCTGGGAGGGGAAGAGGGTCCCCTTCCAGGGACCACATGTAAAGCAGTGTCAAGAGGAATACAGTTTTAGTGCAGCATTTAAATACATCCATAAAATTAAATGCATGCAAATTCACACTAAACAACAACAAAAACCAAACATTTAAATAAAAGCCAGGGTTAGGATCACTGGCTTCCTTTGTGCTTCAGGCTTCCCGTTACTGGTCCTGTCTTTTGGGTCAGGGACTTCTGAGCCACCCGGAGACCAGATGGGATTCTTTCCCTCCGTGGGGCCTAGGACCACAGAGGGACTTCGGACCCCCATCATTGTCCTCACCTCGGGAACTGCTTCTTCAGCTGAGCCAGGATGCCCTGGGAGCTCAGGCCTGGAAAGTCGGCCTCATGAGGACCCTGGAAGGGTTGATGGAGAGTGAGATGGGATCTCCTGAAACCTGAAGGTAATTTGCCTCCTCTCTTGTTACTTAAGTACCCACAGAGTACCTTTCATTCTGCATCTTGCTTTAAAAATCTGAAGTATTCCCTCTCTTGCCCTTTATGGGAGAAATTTGCCCAGTCCTGGCCTAAACCGTTAGCAATGGTCATCTCTGGGAAGTAACATCTGGAGGAGGGGAAATTTCGCTTGGAAAATATTAACAAAACAGATGATATAGTCATGTGTTTTACACCTGGGTCATAAGAAGTTTAACTTTTAAAAAGCAAATGCCGCCCTAGCCAGTGTGGCTCAGAAGGTTGGGCGTCGTCCTAGGCACGGGAAGGTTGCCCCTTAGGTTCCAGGTCAGGGCACATGCCTGGGTCTCTTTTGGGCTCAATCCCCGGTAGGGGGCATGCAGGAGGCAGCTGATCGATGTTTCTCTCTCCCTCTCCCTTCCTCTCTCTCTAAATTTCATTAAAAATATATATAAAAAGCAAGTGCCTTTGCATCTGTCAGTATGATGGGTTAGTGACCCCAACTTCAAGGCCTGGCCAGTCACCCCATATTCCTCCATCAGGAGGAGGAGAATTAGCCTTGGCCGGTTGCTCAGTGGTTAGAGCACTGGCCTGCAGATGAAGGGTCTTGGTTTGCCTCCGAGTCAAGGGCATTTACCTTGTACCTCGGATGCACATTTGATCCCTGGCCCAGTCCTGGTCGGAGCCTGTGTGGGAGGCAACCAGTCTAGGTGTCTCTCTCACATCCGTGTTTCCCTCTCCCTCTTTCTTCCCCTCCTCCTCCCTTCCACCCTCTCTCTCTGAAAGATCAATGGAAAAAATATCCTCTGGTGAGGATTAAAAAAAAAAAAAGCAGCAGCAGCAGGAGAATTAGATATGAGCCCAGCCCCCAGGCTCTTCCCCTCCCCCCAGAAGTGAAGGCCATATCACATCCTCTCCCTCCTCACCAGAGTTCCTGGGGGCTTCACCATCCGGGGAGGGTGCCCCTGGGGGCTGGGATGGCCAGAAGAGGTCATCTTCAGGTAGTACTCACCAGGACTCTAAAAGCAACCGGGAAATGGAAGGTCCTGGGGCAGAAGTGACAGACCAGCCCCACCGCTGCCTGGGCCTCCTGCACCCCTCACCCTGGTCTCCCCTGCGGGGCCCAGTCCGCAGTCCTGGCCCCCAACCCCACCCCTGACCTCCAGCACCCCACTGCATTCCCTGCAGTTTATGTCCATTCGTCAAACACTCTGGTGCCTGCAGCTGTGCTGATTAATAGTCGGGCCCCCGAGGTCTCGCCCTGTGATGTGTCCCCCTATGATGTGTCCGGGGAGAACAGTCAGGGCTTGGGGAGGGCAGTCAGAGCGTGGGGGACCCAGAGAAGAACACCAAGGCTCAACCTCAGTTTTGAGGCCATTTCCCAAAGGCCGAGAGAACACCATTGGAAAGGGGTTTTGAAGGATGAGTAAGAGTTGGCCAGGTGAATGAGGAGGAATGTCTCAGGTCGGAGGAAAGAGACCGCTCCACCATAATCACTCTTGTTGCACCAAGTCCCTCCTTCCCTTTGCTTCTGTCCCTCAACGCCCCTCCAAGTCTCCTCACCAGCCCGTGACCTTGGAGTCCTCCAAAAGGCCAGGGGCCTACTCACCTCCCTTACAACAGAGGCTCAGAGGAGACAGAAGGAAACCACGGAGGTCAGCCAAGTTCAGGCCAAGAGGAAGCCCCCTCCCCTCCCCTCACCCGGGGGGCCTTTGACCCGTCGGGCCCCGCCCCGGCCCGCCCTGGTCCCGCCCCATCCCGCCCCCTCCCCGCCCCGCCACCACCTGCGCCGCGAAGCGGATCAATGAAGGATCAGCAGCTGCACGTGGGTTCGGGCTCCGGGGGCGGCAGTCGGCAGCTCTGACCAATCGCAAGGCCGCTTTCCCACGTGGGCCACGACCGCTATCGTTGATTGGTCGGCTCGCCCGGGCCGCTGGTCGTGCTGTCAATCAGCTCAACCCGGGCCGCGGTTTAACCCTTGCGGTCCCCTTGCGGAGATGAGCGGCGTGCGTGCAAAGCCGCAGGCAGTTTGGGTTGCGGAGGAGGGCGAGGATATGCAGAAGGGCAGGGGCTTGGGGTCGGAGGTGCCAGTGGGGAGGGGCTGGGCGGCGTGTAATTTCATTGTTTGGTGAGAAGCCTGATCATTTTTCGTGAGGCCCAGGAGTGGCTTAGCGCAGGAGATGGGGGTGGGGGGTGGCACTTGGAATGGGGGGAATCTCTAACGCTCTCACTCTAATTCTTAGATATGGGCTAATAACGTGCAATGCAAACGAAGCTTCAAGCCCCCTTTCTGAGGAAAACTTAACCGCTCCCTTTTATCCAAGCCCTAGGCTGCGCATTTTATCAGGAATTTTCCCAACTGCCCTCCAAGCCCAGGGACTGCAGATCTGAGAACTGAAAGCAGCTGCTGCAAAGGCCTTGAGGCTGGTACATATTTTTCCAGGTTCCAGGCCAAGGTGGGAAGAGTGGTGGGTATCTAGGCCTAGGGCTATGTCAGAGAACAGTGGGTGGGGATTGTAGGGGGCTGTTGAGGGATTCAAGAGTTCTGTTTTGGGCCTGGCCAGCGTGGCTCAGTGGTTGAGCATCAACCTTTGGACCAGGAGGTCAGGGTTCCATTCCCCGTCAGGGCACATGCCCAGGTTTCGGGATTAATCCCCAGTGTGGGGCATGCAGGAGGCAGCTGATCAATGATTCCCTCTCATCGTTGATGTTTTTATCTCTCTCTCCCTCTCCCTTCCTCTCTGAAATCAATATATATATATATATATATATATATATATATATATATATTTTTTTTTTAAAGAGTTCTGTTTTGGCCTGGTTTGAAATGCCTACTCAAGATGTGCAGTGGTCAGTCTGGAGTTTTGGAGTGAGAGGCCAAGTGTCTGCCTACCCCAGGACCTTTGCAGCAGTTATTCCCTCTGCCTCGGATAGTCTGACAGCCACTGACTCCCTCCCTCACCTTCAGCTCTGCCTGAGAGGTCACCACCTCAGTGAGACCTCCATTCTCCCTTTCTTGTTTTATTTACTCCAAATGTGGTTTGAATGAGAGTTCATCTTGATTTAATCTCGGTGGCTCTCAGCCCTGTTGTGTTCAAAATTCATAGAATGCCAACAGGACTCTAACACATTCTCACCAGGAGCCACAGAATCCTGGGCAGGTGTGCCGGCTTGGGATCCACACGGTCCAGAGATCTCCCATTTCCCCTGAGCTGTGCTACAGGGGGAAACAGAGTTCAGATCTGAACTCTGAGCCCTGAGAGGTTCCGGTGTAAACACATAACTTGGGTTTTGTGGCTGGTCTTTGGAAGAGAAAGCGAGGGCTGCCATATTTGAACCGCAAAATAGGTTTTCACCCATGATCCCTCAACCGGCCCTTAATTGAAGTGTATTTTATTTATGGTCCAACCTGCTAATTGCCTCCCTCTGTGCGCTTGGCTCTCCCTCTCTCTGTGGTTGTAGACTTTCAGCTGAGCACACTAACTCATCCAAAGCTGGCTTGTCTTGCCTGGTTTCTGCTGGGTACCTGTTGTTGCTTAAAACGATTAAAATTAAATAAAATTTAAAATTCAGTCCAGTGGTTCTCAACCTTCTGGCCCTATAAATACAGTTCCTCATGTTGTGACCCAACCATAAAATTATTTTCGTTGCTACTTCATAACTGTAATGTTGCTGCTGTTATGAATCGTCATGTAAATATCTGATCTGCAGGATGGTCTTAGGCGACCCCTGTGAAAGGGTCGTTCGACCGCCAAAGGGGTCGTGACCCACAGGTTGAGAACCGCCGATTCAGTCCCTCAGGTGCACTGGCCTCATGTCAATTGCTCAGTGGTCACATGTGGCTGGGGGCTGTCCGCGTTGGGCAGCACAGAGCTAGACTATTCCCATCGTTGCAGAAAGTTCACTGAACGGCACAGACCTGAGGCTCTTCAAAAACAAAGATTCTGGGTCCCGGTAGAAATGGGAAGCGTTTGGTGGCAGCCACTCCATTCTCACTTGGTGAAAGCTCTGTGTGTGTGGCTGGGTAATATTTGGACATTTTGTAGGTATGTGTTCCCTGCTGGTTCTTTCACTGTCCCCCGCCCGCCCCAGCCTGGCCAGCCAGCTCTGCAGCCTCCTTGAGCTCTGGGGAAGGGGATGGCTGACACAACGGAGAGGAAAGGAGCACAGATTTCCTTCTTGGCTTCTGAGCTGTGCTCTACTTGGTGGAAATCCAAGGCCTGGATGAAAGTTTGAGAGGAAAGAGGTTTGCATTTCCAAAGCTCTGGCATTTCCTAGGCCTGGCCTGGACACCTCAGGCCTGTTCCTTAGGGACCCCAGAGTCACCTGGATCGAGGCAAGAAAACGCCCAGAGTGGAGCGGGGGCTGGGGCGTGACCACAGAGAAGTGACCACAGGGAGATGGGGATGGGCTTCACCTGCCCCGCTCTCTCCTCCGTCCCCAGAACTTCCCCGTGGCCCACGTGAGCGAGAAACAACAGCCAACAGCCAAGTGTCAGAGGGAGGAAGGAGCTGCAGAGAGCCTGTAGGCAGAAGGACTCTGGTGTCCAGCCAGCGAACGAATGACCAGGAGCAGCGCAAGGGGACAAGGACTCTCTGGGAGATGCTCAAGGGCAGGATGCCCCCCAGCTGTCCCCACTCTCAGACACCACATGACCCCTGTTGCCCTTAGACCTGGCCCAGGAAAAGTGAATTTATCAAATTACCTGGCTTTGGTGGAAGTTTGCTTTCTGCCACCTGGTGGGAAGAGGCTTGTATTCCTTTCCTCTGGGCCTCTGTAACGAATGACCACGATACGTGGCTTACAACAACGGAATTAGTACCTCACACTCTGGAGCCCAAAGTCCAAAATCAAGGTGTCAGCAGGACCAAGCTCCCTCTAAAGCAGCGGTTCTCAACCTGTGGGTCGCGACCCCTTTGGCAGTCAAACGACCCTTTCACAGGGGTCGCCTAAGACCACCCTGCATATCAGATATTTACATGACGATTCATAACAGTAGCCACATCACAGTTATGAAGGTGCAACGAAAATAATTTTACGGTTGGGTCACAACATGAGGAACTATATTTAAAGGGCCAGAAGGTTGGAACCACTGCAGAGTCTAAAGGCTGCAGGGAGGGCCTTCCCTGCCTTTTCCAGCCTCTGGGGATGGCCCGCAGCCCTTGGCCTTCCTGGGCTTGTAGACACATCATCTGAATTGTTGTGTCTGTCTTCACGCGGCCTTCTGCCTCGTGTGTCTCTGTGTTAAAATTTCCCTCTTCTTGTAAGGACACCAGTCATTGGATTAGGGCCCACCCTATTTCAGCATGACTTCATCTTCACATCTGTAATAACCCATTTCCAAATGACGTCACGTTTTCAGGTTGTGGGGAGATAGGTGAGGGGAGCGGAGTGAGGTAGTGGGTTGGGACTTGAAGGTATCTTTTTGGGGAACACAATTCTGCTCTCCACAAGGCTCAAAAGAGAAATGAGGTAACTATCGTGACTCATGCACTCCTCCAGGAAGCCTGATATCCCCATTTTGCAGAGGAGAAAACTGAGGTTCCCAGAGAGGTTACCGAATCTGCCCAAGGTCACATAGTTACTAAAGGGCTGAGCTAGGATTTGAACCCGGGTCATCTTGCTCCCGGGGGGATGTAGCCTTGTAGCCCTTACACTCTCATGCTCACATCTAAGTGAGGGTTCCGCCATGGAACTGCCCACCTAGTGGCATTAGGTTGGACCCCCACCAGGACCCACGCCTGGAGGAAGGCACATCCATCCCGGAAGCGGAGTTCGGACCTCCTGGACTCCGCTCTCACTTCTGAAGAAATCGAGATGTCTTAGCTAGTGTTACAGATCAAATTGCCCCCAAACCTGGTGGCTTGAAACAATAAACCTTTATCTCCTCACAGGTTCTGGTGGGCAGGAACCTGGGGGTGGCTTTGCTGGTTTGACGTTGGGTCGCTGATGAGCAATGATCCATGTTCCAGCCTTTCTTTCTCCTCTCACCGCCCTGTGGTATTTTTTGTTTTATTTAACTCTCCCCTGTCTGGTGTGTTTACGACAGCGGTTCTCAACCTGTGGGTCGCGACCCCTTTGGCGGTCGAACGACCCTTTCACAGGGGTCACCTAAGACCATCCTGCATATCAGATATTTACATGACGATTCATAACAGTAGCAACATTACAGGTATGAAGTAGCAACGAAAATAATTTT